ATAAGTAAAAGTAATTTCAGTGTTCAAGGTCCAGTGATAAAGTGAGAGAAGAATTAGACTCATCCTGAAGGAGATCAACACTCAAAAATTCTAAAACCTGGGATGTCTGGCCTGCGAGTGAAAATATATTCACAGATATCAATTTCAAATTACAAGCGCAGCACAGTAACAATGACACGCAGGCAATAGTAGACAATGCTACATAAATTAAGAAACTTGTCTCCACTTCCCTTGCTGTTTGGCCACTTATTCTAATACCCATTTTCCTGCTTATTCTGGCAAAAGTATCTGTAAATCACATCACAGCCAGCAACCTGAAACAGGCTATTTTTAAGCTTCTTCAGTCCAGTGACAAACTGATACTCCGAGCTGGTTCCCCCCAGGGTAAAACCCCCCCAAAAAGGGACCATTGCAAAGGGGTGGCAGGAGAGTTGGGTCACATTGACCCTGACTGAAATTGGCTTAACTAGTGATGGAACTGCCACCTTTGACTGGACACTTGCCTTGTAAACAACCAAAGCCAGGTAGCACACATACCGGCCCTTGCTTTCTATTAACTCAATCCTGACATAATTTAACAGTTGTCTACAAAATTACTAAATATTTAACTCCCATGTAAATGAAACAGGATAAAAAAGAAGTCGAGAAAGTCAAGACCCACAATAAACTATTCTTTTACTAATCTGATCAACGTACGTTAGTGTACAAGAACCTTTACAGGTATTTTCTCTTGTACCAGTACATTACGTTGTGAAGCAAACTCTTAAACACTTAGCAGTCCTGTAACACCAAATATTTCCATGAAGGAAAAAGAGAACGTACTGCTCTTGATTCTCCCCACCCGCTATTTGAACTAACCCTTCAAAAGCCTGAATAAAATGTTGCTTGTAAAGCCTTTTTATTCTGAGCCTTTACTGCCAAGCATCCTTTCCAGTTTAAGGATACTTTTAAGATATGCTATAAGAAGTGGAGGACACCATTTAGGGAACTAGAAAACAAGCTGACATAGTACAGAAGCCAAGAGCTTTGTAACAAAATACACTGCTGTATCCTACTTTAGAAAACTCCTAAAACAAATGCTGATGGGCAATTATGATGCCTTAAATTCAGAACATTTTAATTTTAGAAGCTATAGACAACAGGTACACACCATGTTCAATGAGAATCTTGCAAGGGATACTGAATTAATGTTTCAAAATCAAATTTCATAAAGACAGTTAAAACCAAGGGAGTGGAAGGGACTATTACCTTTGTCAACAATAACTAGGCTTTGTTTAAGAGCAACTCAACAAAGATAATAAATTAGGAAGCTGATTTTCCCCCCTTCTGCAGCTTCCTCTATGAATAGAAATAATATTAATAAAAAATAATTTCTAAACACAAAGGTTTTATTATTCAAGTAAAAGAAACTAGGTGTACTTAACAGTACATATGGACAATGAACAAAACCACAAAACTAACTTTAAAAAATTAAATACAATCATATTTCACAGTATCCAAGTCACAATAGATGTTATTAACATACAGAATCCTGGACACTGACAGCCGTACTCCAGTAGTGCAACTCTTGCCAGTATCTGTCAAGCAAAGCATGTGGAAGAGGCCCCAGGTCGTATTTCTCTGTAAAAATTGCTAAGACTATTAAATTACTAGATTTTGCTAAATCATATTATACTATGTATATAAATAACAGAATTCTCTGCATTTAAAAGCTGCATTATTAGAAAATCTAACTGAAGCTACAGGCAAAATGTCTCAGCTCAAGTCAGAAACACATTCTTTAACTTGACAGATTTTTGCATTAATGTATTTACATGAATCCATAGCCACCATCTACCAGTACACACCTGCTAGCAGAAACTCTTTTCTGCAGGATGGCAATTGTGTTGGTTTTGCTGCCACAGCATCTACTATTTTAAAAGACAGCCCCCATCTCAGGCAGCTTGTAACAGTGACATGCAGCAAGAGAAAGGGAATGAAGACAGCTTTAGAGATCAGCTCTGAATACAAACCAGCCAAGTGTGAGAGAGACTGGCAGTGGAGTGCTTCATCTCAACACAACACTCGAGGAAATGAAAATGCACCAGGTGCGCTCTGCTGTATACAGGTATTATCCTTCGTATGCAGCAAGAGGCTGTAAGTGTTGCTGAGGAAAAATATCTCAAAGGCTGAATGGCATACATACATCAGGTTCAAAGAAAATCACAGGCTATCCTAAGACTAAAGCAGAAAACGGTAAAAAGAGAAAATAACTCTACTTGAGTAAAATCTACAAGACTAGACATATGCCGGCACATGTGTTCTCACACTTTTTTAATTCATTTTTAGAGCACAGCTATGATATTGAGTGAAAAATTAAATGTATTGTCATAATAAGTTAGAAAAAATAGTAACATAATATTTACATTTTTATATTATTTATTTACAGTCTATTATGTTATGTAGCTCCTTATACATCCTTAAGCAGTACTACGGTGTCATTCTGGGGTTAGATGCAAAAATTCTATTTGGTCGTAAACAAAAGCTGTCTGGAAAAAAGTTCGAAGAATTAAACAGGCAACAGAAGCAGACAGCAACGTAGAATCTCAGAAATTATCAATTACTGCCTTACTGATTACTAAAAAGGAAATCCAAGGGTTTTTTTAATGACATGTAAAAATCAGAGGCAAGTATTCGTTATTTTCTATTAGAAGGACAGAAGAAAGCAATTGCGAGGCATGACTCCTCTACACAAAGATATTAATTTATACATAAAAATTAACATATACTGATGAAACTTCTCAATAATCAATTTTTTCATGCTTCAATTCCAGTAATATACTCTACCAATTTAAATATAAGAGGTTTTTTTAAGTAGTGACACATTTTTGAAGAGTTCATTTAAAACAAAAACACTACATATGGCATGTTCAGTGAATACACAGCTTTTCACTTTGAAAGTTCTGCACACTATTTCATACATAGAAGGAACAGACCCTCTAAACCTAAATCCAGAGACAGATAACACAAATTATCCTTCATCTCCCAACAGGTACGAGCAGTTCAGCCCAACCCACCCCACCTGAGCTCAGGTACCCAATCTCCAGCCCCACACGGACACTTCAGCCACCTGGGAGCCTTGCAGGCTGTGCCTGCACCAGCACACTCTCATATATATATGTACATGCTTCCACAGTCTACATTAATATTCCTTTCAGTTTCTATTTACAAATACACAGCTACATAAATACGCATACATTAAAATACAGATGGATGCGACAATGATACTGAATTGTATCCTCAAGGACCAACAATTCTAAAAAAAGATACTCAGAATTATTCATACTCTGGGTACAGTTTAAATAATCTACAATTCACCTTGCACATACACTCAGAAAAATCTGCAATAAACTAGTAACAATTTCAAAACTGAACTCCTCCTTTGCCAAATAATAACCAGTTGTTGGAAAATAACATTTGCCAGAACAAAAGGAAAACAGCTAAATTAAAGATAAATCGCAATTTAAACTAAAGGAACTACTTAAAACAATTTTACTTAAAGTGATAAGCCTACCTATTTTCTCTG